GCATATTTGTGTAACAAAACTTTACACCAATGATTTATAAATTACGTTATGATTATTTGAATTTAAGTATTTTCCATTTTACATATACAATTCCATAAATTAAAAGGAATGAAGTTATTATAGTTAATATATGCAAATCGTTATCAAATCGTATATTTTCCTTTTCTTCCATTACATGTGTGCGATATATATAAATATAGAAACTATGTTACATGCGTTATATGCGTCTCTAATTATTTTTCCCTAGCAAATTTCAATTGAACCTAAAGCCGCCACGTCAGTTTAATTGATATGCTAATTGATTGACAACTAAGCAAGGTTACTTTTTAATTAATACAAACTTGAGGTTACATCTTTTCAAATGTTTCTCAATTAATATATAGGGGATATACAAAAGTACATTTCTCATATCTGTAGTATGCTAATCATGTTATTCTTTTTGTTATTTATACCAATAGATTATTAAAGTGGACATAGGCAAAATATGTGTAAAAGTGATGAAACCAAAATGACTATTTTAAATTCATAATGAATTTAAATACAATATATAATAGATTATTAAAGTGGACATAGGCAAAATATGTGTAAAAGTGATGAAACCAAAATGACTATTTTAAATTCATAATGAATTTAAATACAATATATAACGAAAGAATTTAGCAAATCCAAAATTTAAATCCAAGTGTAGTGGAAAAAATGTAATTGTCATTGAATAATTCATAATCAATATGACAGAGCAAAAAAAAATTATATATAAAAACCTACTTAAATATCTAACCGTCCTTTCAAAAAAAGAAAAAACAGATCAGGAACGTCCATTAGCCCACCAACGTCAATAAATCTCCAATTCCCGGTTCTCTTTCTTCTCTCTCGCTATAATCAAGAAACGTTTTCTTACTTTCTTCATAACATAATCAAAATGTCTGCTAATCTACAGGATCTAGTTAGAGCGGGTGAGATAGGCAGAATACTCCGAGATTCAAGTAAAGATGGCTCTCTCACGACAAACTTCTGATTCTTTTTCGCCATCGTCGTAGCCAGTGGCGGAGCCATAAACATTTTGTGTTGGGGTCAATTTGTTTTCAAAAACATAATTTATAAACTATCATAAAACTATATATATAATATATGATCTAAACATAATTTATAAACTATTTATCACATTATTTAGTAAAAAAATTATCTATCACGGTTTCATTTACTATATTTTCAAATAATTTTTCCTATAGTTAGAAACTGATCACAAATGTGATTTTGCACTATTTTTGACGATCTTTATTCATGTCTGAAAACTATCCTCCGTTGATAAATTTATCTTTACAAATTCAGAAAAAACTGATCTATTAGTTTACTAATTGATTTTAAGAATTATTTTACTTCTAAATATAGAATTATTTGTAAAAGTTATTCAAAGATCATGAACATAGATTAATCCTAAACTTTTTATTGAATTGAATCAATGAATTCTAATCATTTGTGGGATCAAATTTTATTTTTTTTAATGATGTCAAAAACAATATATTAAAAAAATAGTGGGGTCAACTGATCCCACTAGTCCTTCAATGCTTCCGCCTCTGGTCGTAGCTTTCCTCTCTCGCTGAACCGTTCAGGACCAGAACCGAGGAGACCTGGGTTGTTCCTGTTCGACGAAGAAAAGTACTCTAACAACTATGTTTGGGACCGAGTTCATCAAGCGAAGAGGTTGAATTGCGCTTCCGGTGTCTTTCCAGATGTCACCGACGTCAAATTCAGGGTGGCGAAAAGAAGACTCCAAGGCGGCGGGGCCTTTCAGAAGGACGCACCATGCAAGGATTGTTCATCCAACCTTTGCCTTCGTGCATTACAGGCTAGTGGACGAGGTATCTGACGACTCCTCTTCTTTTTCTTCTGAACATTCTTCTCAAGAGTCGTCAGACTCGTCAGAACACTCTTTTACTTTTATTTTCTTGCTTTATTAACTCTTTGTTGAGATAATCATGTTCTAATATGTCTCCCATCCCATGATAAGCAGAAAAAAATATTGTACAAAACGATGGTACCTATTGGCTGAGGCTGAATCAGTCTAAAACTTGTGAATACTAAATCATTTCTTACGGCGAATTGGCTGGTGTAGTGTAGGCTGGAGAATCCATGTTTTTTTTTTACTGAACTAGAAAAGAGACCATTGGTTCGGTGGTTGCGGATAAAAGCAAAAAGTCAATTACATTTTAAACGTCTTTTCTTTTCTTTCCTTTTTAATTCGCTTGAACAGATTCGAGAATCTATTGGCCGGCAAAAAAAGTTATCAAAGTAAGCAAAAAAGTAGATTACAACGAATATCAGTTTCAAGAGAGACGCCACAATAAGTGAACATGAAAATAGTCAGACAATTACCCAATAATAAAACGACACGTAAACAATTTTCCTATAGTTTGACCATATTTAGTTGTAATGTCGCTATTATTAAAAAAAAAGTGGGGTCGTTTTATCATGTGACCGTTATAATTTACGTGAAAGCCATCTTTTTCTGCCTTCATTTGCATGCTTAATGAATAAGGCTGGTCATATCCTATCCGATAAGGTTACTATAATTATTGTCAACTACCGCTCTTTAATCTTATAAGTACTGCACTATCACTTAGCATTAATATAGTCGAGATATTGTGTTTTGTTATTTGTGTTGGCTAAAATGGTTACAAGATAGAGAGATTCTCATATCTCAAACCTTAAACCATAATTCGTAAGTTGGGAGATAAGGTTATCATTTAATTTTAGTTATCTTAGAAGTGTATTATGTTTTGTTTGAAAAAAGTGAGTCAAGATGGGTCCTCTCTAAGAAAAGAAAAGTTGAAATCACTAATTATAATAGTTCTGCATAAAAATTACTGGTTTGGAACTTTGGCAGCGTGATTTGCGTTTGATAACTTTGCATGGTATTTTTATTTTATTTTGAAATGGCGGTATTTGAATTTTTTTACTTGCTCTTAACCTTTTCTACATCCTGTTCCTTTGAGCAGGAACATGAACATTGAAAACATGTTATTGGTTCCCGACCATTGACATACAATTGACTGAACCGTTTTCACTAAGAGATTTAACAAATCAGAAGCTCCGCCTCTCGTACACCATTATCACAAAAAATCTTCCGACCAATACAAAAATTCTTTCATGGTAGTATACTATTAATACGATATATATGGTATTACCGTAAGTAGATATTAGCACAATGCATTTGATATTTTTAACAGCTAGATTCAAGGTAAACAACAACAACAGAAATTATACTTATTATATGGTTCAAGGCATATGGGACCCGATGCATGAAAAAGTCTCAAATTCAATGTATGAACCTATCCTTTTTCTTTTGGGACTTTAGTATTATCTGAAGACCTACTAGCTAGAATATAACTCAGCATATTCTATCTACTCTAAACTAGCATACTAAACAATTAATGTACAAACACCATCGATATAACACATTTAAAAATTTGGTATGCGTGCATCTTACAGAGCAATTGATGTTATGTTTATGTTTGGTTGATTATACACAAAATATATTAAAAGACTATCAATTCAATAAAAACAAACTCCAGTATTATCAACACTATGGTCTACTTCTATTTTTCTATATTTGATTAACAAAATATCTCTAAAGTTTCGAAACGACCTTTTTTATTATTATTATTATTTGTTATGATGAGGTAATTTCGAAAAGACCTTACCTCATCATAACAAATAATATTCGAAGCATTGGTTTGTTTTATCCGGGTTAGGTCTGAGAAAGTCATACTAGAAACAACAGTTGATTAATCTTTTGTTGTGTACTTGTGTGTAATATTTAAAATTAAGAAAAGCTATTAGAAAGATTAATAAAATGTGTGAAGGAGAAGAAGCTAAAGAAAAGAGTTTAGGCACACAATAATAAAGGGTTATAAAATGTCGGTGGGGTTCATTGATTATTGGGGGAAAAGATTAGATTAAATGCTTTTTTCTCTTTTCTTGCATACCAAAGCATCTTTCGTCGTCCTTATATTTGGTTTGTTTTCTTCTACACATCCATTCACTTCAGAGATTCCCTCCAAGAAAGAGAGTAGAGATTAAAATCGGAAGAGGATATGGACGGAGGCACGGAGATGTACGGTGGAGTAGAGACGGTGCAGTACGTACGGAGGCATCATCAACATAACTGCAGAGAAGACCAGTGTACTTCTGCTCTTGTCAAACACATCAAAGCTCCTGTCCATCTCGTACGCTTTTCTTTTTTTTGACTAAAATAGTTTCTGATCTCTCTCTCTATATATATTCTCTTAATTATAGTTTTGATTAGTCAGAATCTTTTTATTACCTCTGCTTTAGTTTTTCAAGCTGGTGATTGAATTAAATAAAAATAATCAAACTATAGGTTTGGTCAGTGGTGAGGAGATTCGATGAGCCGCAGAAATACAAACCATTTGTGAGCAGATGCACAGTGGTCGGAGATCCTGAAATAGGCAGCCTAAGAGAAGTTGATGTCAAATCTGGCCTTCCTGCAACTACAAGTACAGAGAGACTGGAGCTTCTAGACGATGATGAACACATACTCGGTATCAAAATCATCGGTGGTGACCATAGACTTAAGGTTAAACTCAATTCTCATACAGCTTGTGTGTAGAGTAGAAAGAATGAGGAAAATCTGAAATATATGTTTTATGTTTATGTTTCGGCAGAATTACTCTTCGATTGTGACAGTTCATCCAGAGATAATAGAAGGAAGAGCAGGAACAATGGTGATTGAATCGTTTGTAGTTGATGTTCCTCAAGGAAACACAAAGGATGAGACATGCTACTTCGTCGAAGCACTCATCAGATGTAATCTGAAATCATTGGCACATGTTTCTGAAAGATTGGCTTCTCAGGATAATATCATTAATCTATCAATATAATCAAAATGGAGGAGGAAGAGGAGGCCATTAATTAAAAGTGAAGTAGTATGTTATTATTCATCAGGAATTTATGTTTTTGTTTGGTCTTATGCAGACACTCTCCAGGATTTCATATATATATAGATGCGTAGTGTGTTTGTGTGTGTGATAATGATCAGTTTCTTATAAGATGAAGAAGAACAAAAAGAAGGATGTAAATGATGTTTATTATAAGCAAATCATGTTCATAGAATACAATGTAAAATGATGTTTATATGTAATATACAGTAATGGAAAAAGCAAATCATGTCCAGATTATTCTCTGCTGAATCGAAAACCTAATTTGAAATTGCTCAGAAAATGTAAAGAAAAATGTATGGAAGACACCGAAGAATATATTTACTGCTCAGGATGATTCATTCAGGTTGGTTAGGGTGCAAGATGGGCGTTCCTCGTCTGCTTCTTAGATTGTATCTCTCCAGTAAGGGGAGGAAATAACGCAAGCGACACTGTACTTTCACTGGAGGAGGCACGGGTGGTTGTTTCTGACAGATCAGGAGTTGTTGATCCTGCAGGATTATTCTGCTGGATGGATGGTTTGCAAACAAAAAGAAACATTAAGTTAAGTTAGCTTCCTTTGATACTAAATGTTAGAGTTGTGTTGAGAACTTACATCAGCCCTTGGAGACGAAGAATCTGGTTTTGGAGCCACTGTTGTTGTTGTTGTTTCGGGTTCGGGAAGCTTTCCATCCACGAAGGAGGAGGAGGAGGAGGAGGCATGGGTGGCTGTGTAGTTGAGATTGGCAGTCCCAGATACTGACAGAGGAGGCGTTGTTGTTGATCCTTGTGCAGGAGGATGCTGCTAGATGGGATGGTTTGCAAACAAAAACATAAAGTTAGCGTCCTCTGATACTAAAAGTTAGATGGGTTGAGAACTTACATCAGCCCTTGGGGACGAAGAATCTGGTTTTGGAGCCACTGTTGTTGCTGTTGTTTCGGGTTCGGGAAGCTTTCCATCCACGGCGGATGAGGAGGAGGCATGGGTGGCAGTCCCAGATACTGACAGAGGAGGAGTTGTTGTTGATCCTTGTGCAGGAGGATTCTGCTAGATGGGATGGTTTGCAAACAAAAACATTTAAATGATACTGAAAGGCATGCATGCAGGTCCATCTCATCATTACAAGCCAAAAAACAAAAACAAAATAAAATGTATGTTGGGGGAAACTTACAGCAGCCTTTGGAGACGACTCTACCTTTGTTCCTTTCCCAGAAGACAGAGGAGTTTCAGCTACATCAAAGTGAGTGAAAACTTGCAGTCGATTTTTACGATATAAGGGCCAAACTTTAAGCTGAGAATAGGTTTCTTCATCATCAGCAGGTGACCAGTCTTTATTCCCAGTTTGATATAGTTCAGCTACAGTCGGAAACAACAGGTTGTCTTCGTTCCTCCTCTCTGTTACATCACATGGTGTCACCAAGTTTCCTTCTTGCGTCACTTCTGCTGTTTCAGATACATGATCCAGCACAGTCGAATTGCCAAGACCTTTATCATCAGCTGAGGACAAGAGGTTGTCTTCTACTACAGTCTCATGCGAAGAAGCTGCTGAGGACACGTTGCGTTCTTGATTCACTACTGTTTCAGCTACGTCCTCCTCAGTGGAAATGCCATCATAAGAAGCTGAAGAGATGTTGTGTTCTTGCGGAGAAGAAGAAGACGACAAGTCATCAGGTACCACCCCTACCTGAGAAGAAGCTGCTGCTGAGGACACGTTGCGTTCTTGATTCACTACTGTCTCAGAGGAGGAGGAGGAGCTAAGATCGAGTGGAACTGATGCAAGTTTTTCTTCTGCCATCTCCCTCTTCGTTGGTTTTTTTCTAGACAACGGAGGAAACACAAGCCCATGATCAGCAGAGTACTCGGCTTGTGGCGTAGTACGTGATGATCCCCATCTTCTCATCTTCCTTTTCTTGTACAACAAGATTCTACAAGAAATTACAAAAGAAAGCAATGAGATCCATCAAGATGCATACAACGAACGAACGAACATAAATACGAGAGTATCGATCAAACCCCCATCAACATAATCATCATCACAACAATCACATACCTTCAATGAAGTCACCGATTCTTCTTCTTTCCTTGTTCTTCGTCTTCCTCTGATATCACCAACAACTTACTTGACAAAGACGGGACTGAGTTTCAAACGTTAACTAATCGCCAATTTGCTATTTATAATAATATACATATTTACGTAATAAGCCCCTCAGCTATAGATAAACTGTACAATTACCCCTCAATTATTTACTATATCCCTTTATAATTCCCCAATTTTTATTTCGCTAATCTCCCTACTGCTAATACCAAATGCATCGGTTTAATTTTTATTTAAAATTTAGAAATCCTTTAATCCTAAACAAAATAAATAAAATAAGTTTTCAACTTCAGAAGAACAAACAAAATTGTAATTTAAACTGAAAATTCATATTATATTTTGTTTTCAAATTATCCAAATTTCGTTAGTTTTATTTCTAAAACCTAAGATTAAATTATAATAATTAATCATTGCGGCCATTGCTTTTTTTTTAAAAAGATGTCTTTACTCTCTTTAGTTAAATCATAATATTTAACCGTTCTTTTCAATTCCAACTAGGGCGAGTATATTTATTATTTTAAAATTTTCAAAAAATTAACTTTTATATTTGTGTTTTTAAATCATATTCGTGTTTAATATTAAGTTAATTTAATATAAATTTTTGTAACTATATTAAATATTTCATAATACACTTGTGTCATATGCATTTCATAAAATTTTTTTATACTATGTTCCTAAAATTTACAACATATTATATTTTTTTAGTATTTACCTCAAGAATATTCGTACCCAACAAAATTGATTCTGAATCGATCTGAAAATCAAAGTCTCAAACCTCTATTAAAACATGACCTATACTCAAACGGTTCTTATAATTAATATTGATTCTAGAAGTAATATGTGGTTATTAAAATGTCCTAGAAAGTTACATCTCTCTTTTGATTTACAAAAAATAGGAAAAAACTGGCAATATATATTTGTATAGTCAGGATTATTAGGAGACAAATGAAAAAACTGACGTTAAATATTGTATCTATCCTCTACATATTGGCATTTTTATTTAATTTATGTTTAATATTTGATTAAATAAGTTATATTAAAAGATATGTATCAGTAAAATCTTAAATTGGATTGCACATATATATATATATATCAATTGGTCATGATCCAATTTTAATAAAATAGATTTAATTTAATTCATTATGGCCAAAATACATAAGAAGATGACTAGGGAAATATTTTTAAAAATATTAATAATGAGAAAAAATTCAGTATAATTTTCCTATTCTCACAAGAAATCCCTTTTATATTCTCTGAGTTAGGAATAAAGAAAACCCTTAATCTTATTATATTGTTATAAATACCAATTCAGCGTTGATAGTTCAAACACCACACAGAGAGACAGAAAATATAAAAGCTTCCGACTTATTATGGAGAATGATGAAAACCTTAGCATGTACGCGCAAAGTGTAATGACTAGTTCTGAGAAAGATGATGTGTACGAGTTCCTTTCGATTATAAATAGTTGTTATGAGCTCTCTGATTTTGCGAGTTTGTTAACATCAGATTTAGATCTTTTCATCAAAATTATCAGAGACGAATTAGGCATGAATCGCTTCAGAAGAATGTTCGGGATATTAGATGATGTCGACACCATTTTTTTCTACCCAATCATGGTGAGATTCACTGAGATTATGACTCACGAAAGCGGCTACGATTTTGCGTCACACGTTCTAAGTGTTTGCAACATACATCACAAGAAACTATTTTGTTCTATCACATTCCGTCATGCGTTAGACTTGGCGCGTGATGAGAAGGGTTGCATCATACTTAAGAAAGTCATAACAATAGCCAATGATTACTACAAAGATGAATTTCTTGACCTGATTACAGATGACGCTTACAAGCTGGCGAGCATGGACAACGATCTAGGAATCTCCCTAATCGAACATGTGCTTAAACTCGATTTTACACGCAAAACCACAGAAAACGACATGCGATTGCACGTGCTAATGGCTGAGTTTGATGAGAATCTCTCAACGTCATCATCATCTCATCACGACCTCCACAAACTTGTCGAGAAGCTAACGTCAGACCCTGATCTATTTGTCAAGTTTGTCAAAACAAGACGAGGCTCGCTCATGTTTCACATAATCCTAGGAAAATCTGAAGAAACCGACACAGTTGTTTGGGAAGAAGCAATCAAGCAAAGGTTTACCGACATTACAACCGATTTTCGAGCTGGTTTCATCCTAATACGAAGCATGCACGTTTTCAAGAAAAGAGGAAATTTGAAAATGTATGATAAAATGCTACGCCAAATAGGACTCCACGCTCTCTACCTAACCAAAGATATGCATATGGGAAACGTCGTGATACATCACGTGCTTAGTCTCTTTAACTACGACTGTACGATAATCATCGCCATGGGGCTTCATCACCACTACATTGAGCTTTCGTTTCTGAAATATGGGAGCACAGTTGTGAAGAAGCTTCTTGGTGGTGAAGACAGGACGATGTTGTTTTGTCTTCTTTTTATCGTCATGGAGATTCTTAAGTGTGACGAGGATACGTTGGTCAAATTGGCTACGGACGAATACGGGAATAGAGTCTTGAGGAAGACTTTGGAAACTGCAAAACTTCATAGGAATGATTTGCTTGGCGATCTTGTTGACAAGTTTGAGCCCTTTCTTGATAGGTTGCGCGGTTCGTCTCTTGGAAATAACATTGCAGCTATCATCGACCCAGAGATAGAAACGGTTAAGGATCGGATTGTTTCAGAGCCAGAAGGAAATGCTTAATTAATGTTTTGTCATGCATGGCTTTTTAGATGTGATTTTTATTTTATATTTTGTGCCTTGAAACTGTCTACATCATATATGATTTTTGCAGCTTTATTAGTTATTTGGGTAGATCAACATTATTCTTTTGGAACAAGTCATCAGAGAACAGACAAAGTTAAATACTACATACATATAGTGTGGGTCGTGTCTTGTTCCACCTCTGGCTGGTGAGATTTCCACTTTAAGGAAACTTCAGTGAGTGCCTTCGTAGAGAGCCCATCTCCTCTCAACACTCTAACAGCTCCTTCTTTCAACTCTTTCATTTTATTCCTTATCGCCTTCCCTTCTTCTCCTTCCATCAACCTCTTGACCACTCTCACCACTTCTTCCTTTCGTACAATCACATCTTCACTGTTTCTCGCTCTTAGAGCCACCTTAACATCCTCCACAAGTAACAACGCGTTTGTCTTTTGTTCTGCGTACAAAGGCCACGCTATTAACGGTACACCATTCACAATGCTTTCAAGAGTTGAATTCCATCCACAATGTGTTAGAAATCCCCCAGTGGATGGATGTGCCAATATCTGAAACTGTGGAGCCCATGAAGGAACCACTAAGCCTTTTCCCTTGGTTCGGTCCAAGAAACCTGGTGGCAAGAAGGGCAATGGATCGGTTTGGCTGTTTGAGTTAAAAAATGAAGAATGAGCTATCTCACTAGGACTTCGTATGACCCATATAAACCGTTTCCCACTCTCTACTAGACCCAAAGCGAGCTCATTGAGCTGCTCACACGTTAGAGTTCCACCGCTTCCAAATGAAACGTATAGAACTGAGCCGAGTGGTTGGTTGTCCAGCCAGTTTAAACATTCGTACTCATCGTTCCCGTTGACACAAGAAGAACACGTGTTGACAATTGGTCCAATCGGGTAAACCGGTGGTTTATCAGGACCCGGTTCTTGTAAAGCCTTTATAGCGTTTGGCTCTAAGTCGAGGAAAGAATTAAGTAGGATCCCATCAGCTTCTTTGAACCTTTTGGCGTTGTGGAGAAGCCATTTGTATGCGTCACCGCTTCGGTCTTGACACGGATCAGAGAGATCCTTACCGGTTATCAGACCACAACCAGGAATCTTAATCGGTTCGGTTAAGTCCTTGAACTCACACGACAACGTTTCGTCTAGTTTTGGCAACTGAAGCAAAAACGACAAGACGTTGGCATTTGATGGATTGAATATGTATGGTGACACGTGGAACTCAGCTGCCACGTCGAACGCATCCGTACCAAATAGATCGACGACGAGAACCGCCGGGAGACGTTTCTCCGCCGATAACGAGCCAAAAAGCTCTCGGAGGGACGGGTTAGAACGAGTCACGGTGAGTGAGATCCGAGTTTCGATTCCCGCCGTCGAGGGAAGGTCGGAAAGGTCTACGGGATGAAGGAACACGTAGGCTATGGAGGAAGGGAGAGAGTTGAGAATGGATATTTGGGCACTAGACGGTGGTGATTCTCCGGGGAAAATGAATGTGACGGTGAAGCCGTGGTGGTCAACGAGTCGCTTTGCAAATTCAACGAGCGGGATGAGGTGGCCCACACCAGGAGTAGGTATGATTGCTATATGCAGAATCTTTGCCTCCGCCATTAGTGCAAGATTCAGGAAGTATAATGTGATGGAGACAAGATTTTATATCGCCTTCTTCATTTGTGCATGTATTATATATATTGTATATGGTTAACTTGGCTTCATATTGCATACTTGTGGTTATAAATCTTTGATATTATTTTAGTTTTCTTTTTGTTCATTTATTTGCTATATGTCAATCTGTGTGGATCAGAACGTAGGCGTAGGCGAACACAACCCAAGCAAAGTTGGCATGTAGTAAAAAGTTAGGGAGGAAGCAAGTATGGATAAAATGTGAAGTGGGTGTCATGGACTCATGGGGGTCTGCATGGGGTGTAGTAAACATTTAAACTATTAAAATGACAAGGTGACAAAAAAATATAAACGCCGAAAGGTTACCCGAAAATCAATACATATATGAACGGCCGACTCAAAAGTAATAGACTGTTTCTTGTATGTACAAGTGAAATACTTTATAACAAAATTTTGATTCAAACAGAGAATTTATTTTATGAAACATATATTGAAGCCTGTAATCTACAGAAAAAGAAAAAAAAGATGATACATCCTAATAATTTTAAAGTTGTGTACACGATCTACAAATAGTTTTTGGCTCAGAATGTGCTGCCCTTAATGATTGTACAATGACACAAGAAAGAACAAAAAGTGGCACGGGCTTGTAGTTGGACCTATACTGGGCCCAAAAATCAAATTAATGGGCTTTTATAAAACAAAATAACTAATTACAAAGAAACATCAGGAAATGGATGCTAATCATTTTTCTCAGTATCCCGGTTAAGCATGACCTCCACCATAAGATCATTCCACGAATCAATCGGACCGGGCAAGCACCAGTGAAGACAATCATTCTGAACATGAACCTGATCCTTCACCTTCATCCCAGAGAAAGGATCTGGATACCGATACGGACCAGGATGCCCATCTGGTCGGAGAAGCGACATCGAAGTAGTGTCAAGTAATGCAATGTTGGAACTTGAACCTTTTACTTGAGTCTTACGGAACTCCTCAAGCTCGACACCACGCATCAACTCATCCTCGCTCTTCATCACTCCTTCGCTTACCTTAAACGGCACCGTTCTGTTACAGAACCCACCACTGTCCCACTCCCCGTTCTCGAAATGATCAGGCGTTGTTGTTCTCAACAGAACCTGAGCTCTACGGTTAGGATCAGCGACAAAGTCTAGAACTAAGCGGAGGGCTTTACGGTACGAGTATTCGTAACCGAGGTCGGTGAGGTTGTCCTTCCCGTGGCAGTAATGGCATCCGGTAACGGTGTGGTTCTCATGGAAGATGGATGTTTTGAAGAACCATTTGCCACCGGAGATGACAACGTAGTCGAAGTTGGGGTACTGATGGGTCCATTTGGGGTCGAGGGTGTCGAGATGGAGCTGAATGTCGGAGAAGGAAACGCCTTCGGAGTTCTCGAAGGTGTCGGCTTTTAAAAGGAAAGGAGACCAGATGACAGAGAGAGTGAAGTTGTGAGAAGGGAATCTCCATATCTTTGATCTGTACTCTTTGTCGTGGTATATTTCTTCTACCTCTTCTACCTGAACCAAACTTTACATTAAAATCTATTTTTTTTTTATTTCTACAGATTAAAAGTTGAATTTTTTGTTTGTTGGTTGACCTGAGAGAGGATGCAGAGGAGGGATTGGACATGGTTACGAGAGATTGAATCGCCGATGAAAGCCCACCATTTGTTCCTCATTCTGTTGAGAAACTGATCTGGATTGAACCTGGGGAGATCGCAGTCGCGAGGCTTCCATCTCCAGAGAAGGTAGTTCGAATCTGGGCGTCCGTTCTTCAGGCAGTTCTGATGTTCTTGGATATGACGACAAGAGTCATTTGTGTAGACAGGACCAGATGGGTCTGGTACCCAGTTCCCGGTGAATATATCACACTTTGTCGAAGCTACAATTGTTCACACACAGAGGTTTTGGTTATGACTAGATGAGGAAAAAAGAAAGAAAAAAACTCCAATTTTCTTGATGTTGCTTGGATCTCACTCTCTCTTTAGTGTTGATTCCTCTAATAATTTAACAAAGAAAGATTCTCTTACCGTTTTGTGAAGCATTGTTGATGTTTCGTGGAGAATCAATGGGAGCTGAGGCAGTGAGACCGGAAGGATCCGCCGGTGAGGATTTAACATCTGTAACTGGAGGGACGGTGGAATCATTAGTGATGATGAGACGGTAAGCAAGACCAACGAGAAGGAAGAAAGCGACGAATCTCAGAAAAATTTGGTTGCGTTGGTGAGAGGAACCAAAAGGGGTTCCTTCGATCTTCATGATCTTAGACAGTGATCTCAATCTATCCATCTGAACTAGACAGTAGAGAGAAAGGAATAGATCAGTGTGCTTTTGGAAGTTATTGAATTGTTTGTATTATTAGCTTTCTTTCTTGGAAGGTTTTTGGTTGTCGTTGAAAACTATGAGCTTCCTGGTAAATAATGACAGAGTGGAATTTTTGTTCTTTTTGTAGTGTCCCTTCTAATAACACTGTAAACTAAATTACTAGTTTTTTTTGTTGCGTCGGTCGTGCTTTAGTGAGATTTACAGTTTTCTAGAGAGAGAGCCAGATAGAGATTATATATAATGAATGATTAGACTTTCTTAATTGTTTTTCTTAAAAATACTAAATAGTATGCAAAGCAAATTACTTTGCCTGAAAAGCAATGTATCGAGTAAGTAAACTGACAATCCACATTTGTCGGGAACTATAGAGTTGTGAGATGAGAGAATATATGTCATTTGCGAATAAAGACATCACTCCTTTGATCTGATTATTTTTACTTCTTAATCCCAACTTCAATCTCGTTTCACTCATTAATGACCCACCCCCTGATCCTTATACATTTTATGCTTGCAAATGTAAAAAAATGAAAATACATCGATTTTATGATTGGTGTGGGGGGTACATTACGAGGCCCATACTGAATTCTCATAAATTAGACGTAGATGTTGGACCCCAATGGAGTTTGAAATCTTTACATCGTGGACCAACCTCATAAATTATCTACTGCAATAGCTTTTACATTGTCTTCTTTCTTGAAAGCGATTCAATGGACAAATACAGCCTGTACAGACAGATCTATAAATATTAAAGTAGTGATGATTATAGAAACAGAGTTGATAATTTACTTTATTTGATGATAGTTGATACTTGATACATAATAAAAATGATTATCCAGAAAAAACAAAAAATATCAATTCTTACATACACCAACCAGATAACAAGAAAATCAGATTGTTATCTTTAACCCAGACCGTAAATCACAAACTTTGGTTTGCTTCGAAAACAAGAAAAAAAAAGAATTGACTGAAACACTAGCATACAAAACATCAAAAAAAGAAATAGAGTAGAGGCAAGCTGTGGATATAACCAAAAAACCAATGATGTGGTAACATAAAAGCACATTGTACATATCAATCAAATAACGAAGATTGAAAAGAGAAGAAGAGGCTGAATCAAGTTGATGAAGCAAGGTATCTTGGAACTCTCATGCCAAATCCATGCTTAACCTTCTCAATCCTGATTCACATTTTTATCAATAAATGACAAAAATGAGTTAGAATCAACTTGATCTAAAACTTCAATATTATACAAAGACTTTGTTGTGCTTACGTTGGAGCTAATTTGCCAAGACACTTAAGTTCTTCACCAGAGTCTCCATCAAGAACTCTTCCCGAAATATCAACGATGTAAGAACGGTTCTTGCCTCGAGGAAGACCTCTACTAGAAAGTAACTCAAGATCTCTCTCGTGAAGCTCTCTTCCGTTCACAAACACTCCCGTGTTTCCTGCCCCACAGTTATCTGGCATTGGACGACTAAACTCTTCGATAAATGGCTGCATCAAACCAATAATTTTTTCACATTTCTTCATAATAAAAAAGAAACAATACAAAGATACATGAAAGTAAAATACGAGAAGTAGTGAAAAAAGTACTTACAGGTATGATACCAAGACAGGGGTTTCCCATCACTCCCCAGAATCCAGCACGGTAGTCATACCTAATCAGAAAAACATCAGTGATCTCTAACTACTCTGAACCCCAAAAAAAAAATATTTGAAACCGAAAGAAAGTTACCAGTAGTTGCCAGCTTGAACAGGTCCAGCTTGTTTCTCAGCGCTGATAACCTGATCTTCAGGTATAAGATGCCCATTCACCCAAACCTCTAGCTCCCTGTCTTCATTACATATAGTTTTGGCCTCTGAGAAACTGTAGTCGATACTCTCCTTCCGGTTTCCACGTCTTCTGCTCTCTTCTTTACTAGCGTTGGAGATCCTTGAATCGTCCTCAGTGTTATTATAGTACCCATTAAAAGAAATATCAGTCTCCGAAGCTACTGAATCTGGTTTCAGAGAGTCTTGTTTCGTGAAGGATACTTGCTTATGGTACCCTAACTGTGACATTCCGTAAGTGAGTGCAGCTCTGTTTACATTAGAATACTCAAACAGCTCAAGAAGATTAGAGTTTTCAGGAGGTGGTGGAGGAGGAACTTTGGCGTCATTGACTCTGCGGCGAACAGACTTGATAACATCTTTCTGTGGTTCACTAGAAATGCTTGATCTTCCTCCTTCATCATCATCTGAGTGTTGTTCACTAGGCGATACATCTTTTGTTTCCACGTGTGTTATTGGTTCCTCATCCTTGAGTGGACAATCATCTACCACTGCGCTTCTATCTTCAACAAAAGGAGCCGAAGAAGAAGAGAAGACAAGTTTATGATCAACAATTGTGAAACTGAAGAACTCAGAGCAAGCACCACATTGAAGCTTTTGTTGTTTTTCTTGAGAAAGAAGCTTCTTCCTAGGCAAATAGAGCAGCTCAAAACAGTTGTGACAAGCTACAAAGGGAGCACCACCTGCTAGAGGATGGCAACGACGGGAATCAGCAGCAGTTTGAACATACTCACGAGTAAAAACACCGCCACCCATTTCAGAATTAACTTCACTAGGCCACCTCGTGTGATGATGGCCTTGACCACCACCATGTGGACTAAAGGGTCTAGGTTTCTCGGCATGGTGGGAAACAGGGACATCGGCGTATCTACTGGGAAAGAATCTAGGGTCGTGTAACTGTGGGTCAAGTATGTCAGGACCAATATCTACATACTGTCCTTGAGGATAAGGAGGACGAGGCATCATGTGATGTGGGTAATGACCAGCTGGATACATACTCTGATGAGGTGGGAATCCATGAGGAGGAGGAGGAGGGGGGTTACTAGGGGAAGGATGATACATTCCATAAGGAGGATATGGATTGTAATAAGGAGGTGGTCCTCCATGGAAACTCATAGGAGGCTGATGTGAGCCTTTTGGTGAATCTTGACCACGGAGGACGTGGCCTTTTAATGAATCAAGTTTTCTGAAAAGCTCTGCTTGTTGTTGATCTGTGTATTGACTCGCCTCTTGGCGGTTTCTCATGGGGGAACCATTGTCTTCCTCCTTAGACCTTGTCTCTTGTCCGCTTCTGGAAGAAGCAGCATCGCTTGTCCTCATCGGATTTTTTTTTTAATGTTTCTCCGACAAAGACTAGGGTCTTTGCTTGGTTAACTGCAACTGAAACAATATCATGTTATCAACATATTTTATCCAAACGGAACAGCAAATATTAGCATTGTAGAGCAAATCTTAAGACCATCACCTAAGGGTTTATGGGAAGTTTCTATGATTTAATCAGCATCCAAAGGAGAAATTAAACACACAAACAAAAGAGAGAGCAAAAATAAAATAAAAACGCACCAACAGGCAAAGATGAAGTGCAGATGGCGATCTCCTGCTCCGGTGAGAGAATCAATCAATTAATAAGAAGCGTTCAGCCTCTTTGACGGAGCCATTTTAAAATATGAAAAAAAATAGAGAGTAGAATTTGAAACTTCCATAGGAATTTAAATAATAATAATTTTTGAAAAAAGCTTTGAGCAGCTGGGAAGCTTTAAAGGCAGAGAAAACTTCCTACTTTTCTTGTCCCTTTGCTTCGCTTTTTCCCCTGGAAATCTATTAAGGCTATTGGGAAAGAGAAGATCTGGAGAGGATGGAGTTTCAAATATCTCCTAACTCAAGTCTCAAGCAGCCTTAGCCGATAACTCTACTAAGTAGTACTAACACAACTTGGATTTAAGGACATTAAAGAAAACCTATGACTGCGTCAAGTTGACCTACAGAGATAACGTGACGACCAACATATATATTTTTCGAATTCTTTACTCAAAGTTCTATGGACTAAATGTGTAATGATAAATTCTAGATACCAAACTAGTTCTCTTCTTCTTATTTTTGATCGGTTCAACCCATATTACTCCTTAAGAATATTCATCTTCATGCCGTAGATGATTTAGCTTATAATGAATGAGTTTTTTTTTTTTTTTATCAACAATGAATGAGTATTAATAACTATTTATACATGTAACTAGTTATTAAAATTAACATGTTGTTTAAGTTAATGGTGCCATGTTCTAGGACGTGTTTAGTATTTTATTCTAATTCTAAATGCTCACAGCTTTGTTTACCGAGTTCAAATATTCAATGGTTAATATATATAGTACTTAAGAAAATTCAAATACTCTTAATATGGAGTAGTTATTATCAACATCATTATCTCAAAAGTTTTACAAAAGTGATTTAGCTATTGGAATTTCTGTATATACGTATGGGTGACAATGACATTTGCAAAAGAAAAACAAAACTAGTGTTTATATACAAGTACTCAAATATTAATTATACTCCACTTGCTTACAACAAGCATGGGTGAGGTTTGTCAAATCTGTTTGCACTGAACTAAATTAAAAAAAAAACTAGTTGAACGAACCGTAAATGTTTCATTTTCAAATAAAATTGGTGTAAGAGTTATCCTAAACACACAAAAAAGATGTTTTCAAATCTTCGAATGATTATTGCATTGCATCAAAAAGATAACATTTAAAAGACTAAACAACAAGAATTTTCACAACCATCAACAACATAAAAGTGAAATTATTACTAGTATATATATTTTTTTCTGCCGTTGCTACTGTCGTTGTTTTGTAAAAAATGAATCATCGGCTGTTTAGACGATTAATAACTTGGCGGAGGAAGACTAGAAGGGAATCAAGTCACTACCCGGCGGCATTGTTGGCCGAATATAACTCTCCACCTTCGCTCATTTTCGTTTTTTGGTTATAGGTGAATGAAAATCGGAAAATATGTTATTTCTTACGTTCATAGGTTATGTTTGATAGAATATATAACAGCTTTTCTAGATCATAGATTCTGTTTGATAGGCCGTATATGATTACTGTGTGAATAGGTTATGTTTGATAGATCATAAGATATAAACAGCTTTTCTCCTCACAGGGACAAATCACATTGAAGAACAATTTGGAACTTCAATACTTTCACCAAATCAAATGAACAAACAGTTTGGTACACTCTAAATGCCAGAAACATAACACAAAGCGACTAACAATGAATGATCAATAGGTATGTGTGTATAACATTTATATATATATTTGTAACGAATGAATTGAAACTGAGTTAGAAATAGAAACATAGCTGAATAAAGCTCTTTCTCATTAAAAAAAAAAAAAACTGAATAAATAGTATCTGATATCCCTCGTATAGCTCTTATGGTTTAAGACATGTCCTTTGTCAACTTTGAGGCTTAGCCAAATTAACCACACCGACTGCTTCTCATGACCGCAGTTTGATCCTGCAATGATTGATTCAATCAAATGGCTACATGATCAAAATATTCTATTTTTTTCTCAAAATATTCTAAACATGTATAATTTTATGTATAATGATTCATATCCTTTAAAATGATTGATTCTATATTAACAATACGTACCATTTCAACACTGTGATGGTGCATTTTGCCATTTGCGAATCAAGAGTTTGCAATCTAACGCCACCGCATTTGAGACTAACGCCCAAAGTAACAATCCTGCGACTGCCAACAGCCAATCCAACCTTCGTCTTAGCCGACACCTTCACGAGCAACTTTTTACTCTTCAGCTCTGTCCGTAACCTTTTCGCCGTCGGATCATCCACCTGTTGTGTCCTCACTCTCGTCCGGATGATCACCGCCGTCCGATTCCCTGGCTTCTGAACAAAGCCTTTGACTTTAGTTGACCCCAAATTAGTCTCAAAGTCTTTCTCTCCGAGGATCACAGCCACGTCAGCATCTCCGTAGTAAAACCCAAGCTTTCCGTTAGGGTTTCTGAAGTCGAGCATCGTCGCCGCATCCGCCGTCAGAAAAGACCAACCGTCGTCGGTTTTCCCGCTGGAAAAGTTGAAGTTGCTGGTTCTGAAGGAGGCAAGTCGGACCACGGGGAGTTTCGGGCTGTACCAAAAGAAAAAAACAGCGCCGGCGATGAGGAGGAGGAGAAGAATCACGGCGAAGAATATACAGAAGCAGCAGCAGAAAACGCGGCAGCGGCTCCTGCGACGTGTCTTCTCGGCGTAGATTGGCGCCGGATGCATAGGCCTCGGCCGACGACGTGGAAACGACGCTGATCCAGACGGCTCCGCCGATGCTGCTGGTGGGCTCTGCTCATCACGGAAGCCTGGAGGTTTCTGGAGTACCGGTTTTAACGGTTTCTCCGCCGCCATTTCCTCGTCAGTTGGCCGCTTTTTGTCCATGTTAAACCCTAACTTATAAACTAGGTTTTCAAAAAACGAAAGTTAAAACAAGTATTCAAAAACTGACATATTTATGAGTCAGTGCCTTTAGATTCTTTCACTAAAGTATATAACTTCATATCAAGAAAGAATATATCACATACCTTATGATGATTAATAATAAGGCATTGCACCCACGTTGTAACTTCAAACGTGGCTTTGTGGAATGCAAGCTGATTGGCGTTTACTATCACAGCTTATATTTCTTGTATTATACGTAAGTGTCTTCTGCAAATGCAATGACACATTATATGGACCGGCCGTTGCTAGTGACCACCATGTATTATATGAAAGTTTACAGCTTGTACCTCTCTGACCTTGTCTAATTATTTATCTGCAACTCTGGCTGGCTAAAGTGTGTATGTCGCGCTAGAGAGGCCTTTGAATTTTATCAAAAGATAATATATGCTTTTGAATTTCTAACTAAAGGTTTAAATTTTACATAACATATATGTTAAAATTTTGTAAAGATATGTCATATAGTTTCTATTTCTTATTTTGTTTAAAGATATGTCATATATCATACTGGATTTGCTTAAATTGGGTGAATTAAATCGTCCGTTAAGACTGCCTGAAGACACTGACATGGAGTCAAGGAAATAAAACTTTGGCTTTGCGATCTTTAAGAATAATATATACATACACACGTAAAATACATTATCTGTTTGTGTTGTCATCATATAATAGTATCAACATGACATATAACTATAGAAAATGGTAGATCTTCTCGTCGGTAAATGAATATATGTCATCGTCATCACGTTTATAAACGTGAGGGGAAGCACGTTGACGATGTTTACATGTTTCAAGGGCCCAGATTGTCTATAGCGAGTTACGTATGATTGGGCCTAGATTTGATTATGAGCCCTAAAGTATATATCTAAAATAAGAAAGAAACGAGTAATGAAAATGGTTAACAAACGGTAAAAGAAACAGAACGCGGGAACTGGTTGCAAACAGAAGAAAATGAGTTGGATCTGAACGGCGAACTTCAACGGCCAAATTTGGCAAATCCCATTCCTTCTTTATTTTTCCATCTCAACAAAAAAAACAAAAAAGAAATGTCTTTCGTTTCCTTCAAAATCTAAGGAACCCTTCTTGTTCGTCTTTCTCCTCTTTTGTTTTACAGGTAATATTTAATCTCTTCCTCCTCAGTTTTTCTTTTCTACGTGGTTTTCTTGTAGGTTAAGATTTTGATAAGTTTTTGTGTTGGTATGAATCGTTTATTAGACATTTTATATATCTAGGGTCGAAATAGGGTTCTAGGAGCATACAAAGATGTGGAGTTAAGATCTTCTTGTTGAAGTTGAGGGGGGGAGGGAGAGAGGAGAGAGGAGAGTTATTTGGAAATGAGTACAAGGGAGATAACAGCTAAGGACGTGAAAGCCACAGAGAAGAACAGGATTCGATACTCCTCAAGGCACATTAAACATCTTCCACCTGGAACCATTACTGAGTTTATATGGAAAGATTATTGTCCCTTGGGATTCAGGTAATCTAGTCCTTCCATGTTTCATCTTCTCAGCTAAATGAATATACAAGATATACTTTGTTTTTTTTTTTTTTGTAGACTTGTGCAAGAGCTTGAGGATATTGATCATGCTGAATACATGAAATCCGTCTGCAATGATGAGACACTAAGAAAGCTTTCTACAGGGAAAGTTGGTAATATGTTTCTTCTCTCCAAAGATGACCGCTTTATTATTAAGATTCTTCGCAAATCCGAAATCAAGGTACACTACTTTGCAAATTTCCTTCTTCTTTTCAACAAAAAATATCTTATTTTTGAGCCATCCCATTTTTGTTCTATGCTTTGGATAATTCTTTACATGCAGGTAATACTAGAGATGTTGCCTGGCTACTACCAACATATTCATAAAAACAGGTCTACCTTGTTGTCTAAGAACTATGGAGCTCATTCTCTTAAACCTTTTGGAGGTGTTAAGGTAACAAATTAAAAACCAATGCAGTATAATGTTTGTTTGGGATTATAACACTACATTGCTTAAAATCAATATTCTACTCTTTTTGTATGTGAGCAGACATATTTTGTGGTCATGTCAAACATACTGCAGTCGGATGTTTTTATGAACAAGGTCTATGATCTAAAGGGTTCATCACAAGGCCGAACTAACAAGAAGATCAAAGTCAGAGATAAAACCATACTGAAAGATATAGACCTTGATTTTCATTTCTACGTCGATTCCTTGGCCAGGCACCGCCTCGTCAAGTGAGTCTTTTCCTCTGATTCTTGTCTCAGGGAATGATTTTAGATGCTCACCAGATTTTTATGTTATCATTTACACAGGCAAACAAAGCTAGACTGTGAACTCTTGGAAGATGAAGGGATAATGGATTATAGCTTAATGCTTGGTTTACAAGTTAAAGGTTCATGTCAAGGTAGAGTGAAACTAAAGCATCTCATGTCTCTCTTCTTGGCAAGTGATAATAATACATTTCACTGCTAATAATAATTCGTTTTATCTGATCAACTGCCACACAGGCTCAACTGAAGGATTAGTCCCTGTATACGATAGCTTCACATCACTAGGTTAAGATCTTTCTTCTCCTGTTTACCCAAATTCACCAGGAAAGGATATATGAAAACTGGACATACGTTTTTGGTCAATCTCGCAGGCTCTGTTGACAGCATTAGCTCCAACTTTATGAAGACGGCTACAAACTCTCCAGATAGTTCTTCAACAATGTATTCATGCACTCCAAGTAGAGGTCATTATATACATATCCGTTCCTAAATGATCATATTTAAATACTATAAGAGATGTTCATATTTTAATTTGAATACACAGATTCACTTGATAGTGAGGACTCAGAGAATATACAATCCATAGCAAGCATATGCCCTAGTCCAGCACCAACGAATGCCTCTGATTCTCCACAAGAAAGCATTGTCTCCAAAACAACACTCACCAACATCTTCCAAAACAGGTAAACAGTTTTTGAAAAAATAATATTATTGCTCTTTTAGGCAATACCAAAACTCTGTGTGAAGGATGGTTTTTTTTTTGTTTTTGTTGCAGCTCAAGCACAAACTTCGGGATGAAAATACCAGGACGAGCACGAAGGATCGGGAGAGGTGAATCAGGGAGTGTGGTGGGGAAGAACGTTAAAGGAGGGGGAGAGGAATGGTACGACGTTATTTTGTATCTTGGGATTATAGACATTTTCCAAAACTATGGTGTGAGGAAACGCATTGAACATTGTTACAAGTCTATTCAACACAGCTCTAAGACAATCTCAGCCGTCCATCCCAAGATCTACTCTTCTCGTTTCCAAGACTTTGTCTCTCAAATCTTCTTACCAGACGAAGATACTTCTAATTGCATTTAAACCACCATTAATTGTCTTAATCTTTCTCATTTATTTATATCCACCTTATACCTATAGCTTTAGCCAAAGTTTGTCTACAAATCAAAAAACAAAGTCCACAACTTTTTCTTTTATTTTGACTTTAGATCGAAAGGTCAACATTTACATTTATTGATTTCAGTATATTTATACATCATATCAGACGACGTAAATGTCAATATGAAGGAAATTGCATTAAATAAAGCCTCTACATTACAAACAAAAAAATCGACCCAAGATTTGGCCCATTTATGCTTACAAGAATATGAACAGCCCATGTCGGAAAGTAAATAGATATGGGTGGTGCAAGCTTGACCACGTGGGTGATTATTGTAAGAAGCGTGTCCAACTAGCCGACAGCTGAGGAATGAAAAGCTTAGTCAGCATCTATGTGAACAAGTCAAACCTCCGCATGGCATGTCTGTGGGTTATTTGACTTATTTACCATTCAAAAGCGCATGCTTCACTTTTTATTAATACTAGACCTTGACCCGCGCACCAGCGCGGATATGATTTTCCGGTTGTTGATTATTTATTTTATTAAATGATGTACTTGTAATACTTGATCATATTATATTCACTTAGCATATAATATTTTTGGCATGTTAAACCATCTATTGTATGATCAATCTTCGATATCATATAAAAAAATTAAACATATATAGTTAATTAGAGAATTGTATACTATGTATAAAGACAATGGAAATGACCGCAAATTATTTTAAAAATTATATTATGACTCAATATGCCTCAAAATTAAAAGTTAGTTTAACATGTTTAAAAAAATAAAAAGATTTTGTAAATTTGTATAAAAAATAAACATATAAAAACAGATTAAAATTTGGTCATCCCAATCTAAACTATTTCATAATTATATTAATAATATATTATTTCTGATCATTTGTTCAGTGTCAAAATAATATGTTGAAAGCCCACATTATTGAAACCCATGTTAAAACCGTTTTTTTCTATTTCTTTCGAAAATATACCCGAATATAGGAATTTGGTTCAATCTATATATTCCATTAGATTTTGAATTTATTGTTTCCTCTTCCGCAAGAAAATTAGTTACGAAATTATAGACCAATCAGGTTGAAATTAAATATATGCTTATGATGCGAAAATCTTGGATATGATATTGATTTAAGGATACGATCTTGCAAAACTTTCTGTTATAATAGAGATAAGATTTTCTGTTTTGATTTTGTATTTATTGAATTGTTTTTTTTTTACTTTTTTTTTTTAGAAAATCGATAGATGGTAATCGGATTAGATCTTGCAAAACTTTCTGTTATAATAGAGATAAGATTTTCTGTTTTGATTTTCTATTTATTCAATTGTTTTTTTAAAAAAAAAAAATTTAGAAAATGGATAGGTGGTAATCGGATTAGCTGTTTGAATCTTGTGGGCATTAGCTGTTTGAATATGTGTATATGATTGGTAATCCGATTTGATATTGAAATTAGAGTTATTTCTATATTACTTTTTAACAGTGACGTTATTATACCGTAGAATACATTATATAAACCAATATAGTTAATACATGCACATGTTATATTGTGTGTTAGTTAATATTATATTTCTCTATATTA